ATTTCATTGTCAATGTCAATGATGCCTTCCTCCTCCAGGTGGTGAAATAAATCACAGTACACATTGGTCATTCCTCGCCACAGATCACCCCAGAGCCTCTCAATTCTCTGATTATGGGTACTCCTTCCTCTTAGGGCACTTCCACGATCAAAGCCTCTGAAAATGTTCATCATCAGGCAGATAGCATTGTTTTCCCCTCCTCTGTCTGTCCGGACCCTCGAGGGTACACCATATACCATAGGATACACCATAGGAAAAAAAATACATACAAGTATGTTTTATTATTTTTGCTGAGTGGAAAAAGACCTAAAATCTACCAAACAACCGGAAAGTATATAAACTGGGAACACAAGTGCTATATAAAAGTGGTAACTAACCAACTGCTCTAAAACTAAGCTAACTGACATAGTAAATTTGAAAACAGTTTAAAAAAAAACATCCCCATTCATAGATGATGTCACAATCTCAATGGCTTACAGAGTGATGATGTCACAAACGTCTTAGAATCTTTGATCCTTCTTTTTCTATAAATAGAAGTGAGAATCAGCAGTTATCAGTCAGTTTGTTGACAGCAGTTGAAGCCAGCAGCAGTTCGCAAACGTTCTAACGTTCAAGCAGAGATACATTTGGTCACGCCTGCAAGAACCAAGTTTAACAGTAAACCGTTTGAGCAGACCTTTCACCTTTTCACACTTTGAAGAAGAAAGAAGAACCATCTATTTTATTTCATAATATTTTGAGGTGAAATCTGCTTTACTCTTCTAACTTTTAGTGTTAATCACTTTGATAGCATCAGAGATGTCTTTCGGAAATGTCCAGGACAAGTTAGTCCCCGGTGGCTGGCTCTCCTCCAACTACCAAATTATAAGTGTTGTCGGAGAAGGGACATATGGCAGAGTTGCCAAATGTGTCCAAATGGCTAACAAAAAGATTGTAGCCATTAAAATGATAAAGGATCAGGACCAAAAAGACCCGTTTAAAAACCAAGAGCTGGCTGCCCTGCAAAAACTTAAAGCCTGTAACTCCAGCAAGTACAATATAGTCGAATGGTACCAGGCTTTTACAGTCCGTGGACATCTGTGCCTTGAATTTGAATTCCTCGAAAAAAGTCTTTTTGACTTATTGCAAGAAAGATATTGCAATCCGCTCAGTTTAAAGGCTATTCGCCCCATCGTCATACAGATAGCTTTAGCTCTTAGCCACCTCAAGTCGATTGGAACAATCCATGCAGACTTGAAATTAGAGAACGTAATGCTGGTGAATAATCCCCAAGAGCCATACCGAGTTAAACTAATTGACTTCGGTCTGGCCTGTGAGACCTCAGCTGCCAAGGTGGGCTCATACATCCAGACACGTCCGTACCGGTCTCCGGAGATTATTCTGGGGCTTCCATTTACAGAAGCCATAGACATATGGTCTCTGGGCTGCATGGCAGTGTCTCTATACACTGGTTACTTGCTGTACCCGGGATACAGTGAACATGCCATACTAAAATACATAACGGAGACTCAAGGAGAACTCCCAGAGCAAATGTTAAACTGTGGGCAAAAGACTGCAAAGTATTTCTGCAGGGAGTTCAATTCCGACAACATCTACCACTGGAAACTCAAGACAACTGAACAATATTTCCAGGAGTTTGGGATTGAGTTTGTTGACAAAAGAGTACAAAAATTGAAGTCTCTGGATGAACTCTTATATACCGAGATCATTGAAGATGAGGATTATGCAGATGCAACTGCAAAAAGGTGTGATATCCTGATGTTTGTAGACATGGTAAAGCACTTGCTTCACCTCGATCCCCGAAAACGAATAACACCCAATCAGGTCCTTGAGCATGCCTTTTCAAAACTGAGCCACCTTGCATGGATACGCCAGAGTAGCTCCTATGTTGAGTCCTGCTATGAGCACATAAACTACTTAAGGACAAAGAAGAAAGAGACGCCAGGACAGAGTCTACATACCAGCAGGACAGAGTCTGCACACAAGCCCACCTCTGACACCAGACAATCTGCTCAGAGGAACTTCCCTCCCTCTGCAGCAGAGAGAAAAACACGAGTGATCCCCCACAGCCAAAACGGTTCTCCCCATTCAACTCAGAGGAGCAGCCACAATTTAGTCAGGTCCAGTCAGAGTGAAAATTCTGAGACAATTCCAAAGAAAGCACAGTGTAAAAGAAAGCACCTGCAGGAAAATGAAAAGGATACGAGTGACCCAGATCTTAAAAGAAAAAAGACTAATTGGAAAGATGTGCGCAGAGAAACACTGTACCAACATGAAAGGTCAGATCATGACCAGCAGAAGCGCCACGATTCTATGGCTCCATCCTGCGCAACCACTAGCTACAGGACACAAAATTCCATCTTGCCAATTAAGAGGAAGCCAGATGAAAGCATCTTTGCGACATCAAATAAGAGGGCCAGAACCAACTGCGAAAACGGCAAGCGCCACACCTTTAACCACAGCTGGGCCGAGGACCACCGCTAGAGAATCATTTTTTGAAATAAAAATGAAGACATCAGCCATTTCCAGGCTGAAGGCGAATAAGGCACCGGGCACAGACGGTTATCCGTCCGAATGGTATAAAGCATTTAGGACGCAACTAACACCAGTGCTGCTTAATTGCTTTAATCATACACTAAGAACAGGAGTAGCCCCACAATCTTGGAGAGAAGCAGTTATCCCAATTATCCCAAAAGACGGCAAAGATAAAAAAGAATGCAGCTCGTATAGGCCAATCTCTATCCTTAACGTGGACTATAAATTACGGTATTTGCTTCAATATTAGCTAAGAGACTGGAATCAATTATCCCGGAGCTGATAGACCTAGATCAGACAGGCTTTGTCTCAAATAGACAGACCTCTCTGCATTGAATCATATCTGTTATTAACCTCTGTCTCTCCTCCAAAGTATATCTTTTATCCTGTCTTCCTTCTCTCACCCCAACCGGTCGCAGCAGATGGCCGCCCCTCCCTGAGCCTGGTTCTGCCGGAGGTTTCTTCCTGTTAAAAGGGAGTTTTTCCTTCCCACTGTTGCCAAAGTGCTTGCTCATAGGGGGTCATATGATTGTTGGGTTTTTTTTCTCTGTACGACCGAGGGTCCAGTACAAAACGCTGCAACTGAAAAAAGAGAAGGGAGGGAGAGCTTTGCCGTGCTTACAAGATTACTACTACGCCGCACAACTGAAGCCCCTGGTAAACTGGTGCTCCCCAAACTATGAAGCTAAGTGGAAAAATATGGAAATTACACAATTAGACTTCCCACTACAGTCACTTTTAGGAAATAAGAACCAAGCTGAAAGATTTTACGAAGATTTGAACCATTTGATCCGGTTCACCCTGAAACTATGGTTCAGGGAAGTGGGGAAACTACAAATAGAAAAACAGGTTAGGACCTTGAATTGGATAGCTTATGACCCGGAGTTTGTGCCTGCCAGGCTGGATGGGACCTTTAAACAGTGGTCTCTGAGAGGAATTACTTCTTTTTGTTCACTAGCAACACATGGGGGATTCCAAAGCTATGAAACCATCTCAGACACATACGGACTGGCAAAGCAGGACTTCTTTAGATACTTGCAGGTTAGAGACTATTACAACAAGACGTTACTAATCAGAGATGAAAACGAATACGACCTAATTCAAATCTTTCAAGAGGCATACAAGAGAAAGGACTCTAAAAAGATGGTCTCAAAAATATACGGTAGTATACAAGCCTCTAAAAATCACTCTACGTTGTACATTAAGCAGAAATGGGAGAGGGAATCAGGCTCACTAATTTCAGAGGACAGCTGGTGGGGAATATGTGAGTCTCAGGCTACCACTGCAAATTCAAGGTCTTTAAGAGAGTTTGGTTGGAAGAATGTAGTGAGATTCTTTATCACTCCTAAACTCACAGCTCGGCAAACAGGCTCACAGAGCCAGGGCCTATGTTGGAGAGGTTGTGGAACCCCCATGGCAAACCATTTTCATGTCTTCTGGGCCTGCCCAAAGATCCAGCCATATTGGGGGGAGGTGGCCCTTGAGATATACAAAATAATTGGGATTAAAATAGTCTACTCATTTGATACGTTGTATCTTGGCAAATTGCCTACAGCACTCCCACATAAAGATAATTATTTATTGAAAATACTTTTGGCTGGCAGCAGGAAGGCCATAACCCGAAGATGGCAAAAGGCAGACCCTCCAACTAGGGCCCAATGGCGTGGGATAGTGGAAGAAATTTTTGGAATGGAAAGACTTACCTTTGTCCTTAGACTCGAGCTTGAGAAATTCAAGAAGCTCTGGGAAAAATGGGTTGTGTACTCCCTTTGTATTGAATAATTGAATATTACCATGATGTAAGAAGATGCTATTACTGGAATTGTGTATGTCTCCTATGCTGACCGCAAGTTTTGTATTCACATACTGTAAACTGACAAATAAAAAGTTATAAAAAAAAAAGAAAAAAAGAAAGCAAAATAAATAAATGAATAAATAAACAAAAGTCTCTTTCAGATTTTTTTGTTTAGATTTGTTTTCTGGAGATTTTAAGGAATTACTGAATTGTGTACACTGATGCTTTAAAGCCAAAGCAGTTCATAATGATTGGCCATGCTTGTCTTAAACTCACAGGGAGATTACAAATATATGATCTAAAGCCAACATATTATTATTTTTACACACACTTTTAACATATTACACAAGTCAGGTTTTGCTGTTATTTGACATGTTTCCATTAAAATAGGTTCAAAAGAATTGCACAGATTCTGAAACCAATATGCTTGAATACATGTGACTACTTGCTTTAAAAGTCTAACATTTCAGCCTGTAAACTCTACCATATGATAAGGCAGTAAACAAGTGTACATATAATGAACTATATACTTTTGTTTACCTCATCATAATATGTTTTATTTTTATTTTTGAGTTCTTTTCACAAAAAGACATCTTGGTATTTAGGATAAGTGTCTATGAAGAGGCAGGTAGCAGCACTAGTACCTAACTAGTACCTTGTTAACAGGAAACAGGGGAGTTTGAGGATTAGACCGGTGACATGAAAGCAGATCCTGAAAAGCAATAAAGAAGGCTGCAGGTGAGCATGTAGATAGGGAATCAAGAGCAGGAGGCGGTAAATTAGGCAGAAGATATGGACCTAAACTTAGTGCTGACATATGTCCATAACACTGGAATAAAGATCAGTAACTACAGGATTGCGCGGACAATTTTCATGGATAAAATGCTAAATTCATACCTAAAGCTTACCTTATGTATGCCAATGCCAAAAGCTCCTCAACATTCACTAATGAGGGCATTGGAAATAATCAAGTTAGCTTTTAACTAGCATCAATTAAGCTAACCTTACCATGGTAGTAGACGACTAGTGGCAACATATGTTTCACATTACTTTCAGAAATGCCAAATTTTAAGCACCTAAACAAACAAACAAAACATATTAAAGTTAAATTAAATTAAAATAATCCCACAGTGTATGTTTGAATTTGAAGTTTACAGAATAAGGTGTGTATTTGATTTACTGCTAAAAACTGCCTCAAGCTCCCAGAATGCATTGCTGTTTACAGAATGTAAAATCATGTCAATTTTACAGCAGTCTATTAAAGTGTAGATATGATCATCGAATGAAACCGCCATGTGAACAAAAGTGCTTTTTGTGTGTGTTTTTATTTGATTTCATTTCATCCCGTCTACAAACGTCTAAACAATTTCACGGGTGACTTACCACAAGTTACTGTCCTATTCACAGTTATCTACAAAGGGTTGTGAAACAGACTTACTTTGTCCAGGAAGGATCAGCAGCATAATAAAATAAATGACATACATCCCAGGCCCAGATATCACTTTGTCTTTTTCCCTCTGAGAAAGCTCCCTGAATATACTGATGCCTTCTGCTGAATCATGTTACAACAGCAGATTTCTGCAGCTGAGTGCAGAGGGAGGTTTGTACTGAGCAGTACAGTTTCATATGAGCTGCACACCTGTGCTTAAAAAATGCAAGTCCCACTCCCAAATTTTAAATAATACAAATATTTGACTCCAGATCATACGCGTATAATCTCAACATGTAAAACTGTGTGGAGCAGACCATTTATCACAGGGCATGATTTTATTTACCGGTGAAAGCATGGGCGAACATCTTACTGAGTATTGGAAGAGCTGGCACCTTTTCTGTATATCGGTTAACAGGAAAACATCTTTATTTTAGTAAGGAAAAAAACAACATGCTGAATATAATGGAACACAATGTGGTATAAATTAGACCTTTTTGAAGAAAGAGGAACACACCTGTACTTCAGTGTGGTTGTGCAATAGATTGTCCAGTATATCTCCTTTATAAAAGAGGTCCCCATGTCACTATAAGTTGCTTGGTTTCCTTGAAAAACAATGATGCAGTCTTGTCAGTAGCATGTTTAAAAAGCTAGATTTGATTGATGGTTATTATTCATCTGATCTGATGATGTTGGAGCCATAGTCTCAGTCATTTGTTTAAGTATAGGAGATGTAACTTTCTAAAGGCCAGCAGCAGGTGGCTCCTCTGGTTGCAAAAAAGCATTCTGAGCTGAATATTTACTGGCAATTTACATTAACAATGTCATAAAATATGATGCAACATTACAAAGCGAGGTGAAAAAAACCACCTGCTGTAACAGTGAGTCAGTCCCATCCCAGCTTCTGACAGCCTCAATTAAAGATTTACAGTATGATCATAACCGGTGACCTACTCGCTACAGGCCTATTGCATGATATGGCATTTTTAATATTCAGTCCAGTGTCCATTATAGCCCTTTATGCCAGAGTGGCAGAATAAATGTACGAGTTCTTAGCAAAGGAGATGTCAAAGGAGAAAACAGCCTTCTGATTCTTACCCAAAATATAACCAGAAGTCAGTAGAGAGGGAAGGGAATTCACTAACCCACAGATTGTACCTATAATAATGACGTAAACTGTCAGTACTCACCAACTTACATAATGTCAGAGTCATTCATTATATGTGGATTTTTTTTAACCTGAGGGATAGAAAGCTTTTGCAGTGTGGATGTGTTTGTTGTGTTTGCATCCAGCGTGATTTCATGTGAATATTTTAGGAATTCAGCTGTGGTCTTTGGCTCTGGTTGTGACAGTAAAACATCCACTACTGTGACTGTTAGTGAGACATTTGTCCATCCTTCTGACGCAGCTGCTACGTCATCTTCCAAGCACCTGGATGACTGATATCGATGCTAAAGAGTCTCTGGATTCAGGGAGTGATGATGATGATAGAAGGAAGTGGTTTTAAACTAAATTATGACGTGATATTTAGAATCCCCTTACATTACTCCCTAGATAGTTTTATCTTCTCAATGGAAACAATGTCAATGGAAACAATGGCAGAAAGAAACAGCTTTGAATAACTCTACAGCATTATTATTGCTTTGACCTTCAGATCCATCTATTGAAGGAGAGGTCAGAGGTCAAATGTGACATTGTAAATTTTTATATATAATCTTTATATGATACTCTCTATATGCTAATACTTACCTCACTCGTAAGACTTATAGTTTATCAGTTGTAAGCCTCTTTCTCATTTTTCAACCAATAAATCATTGAGTTCACCCTGAAGACTCGGTCAAATTAACATTTAGTTATTATATAATTTAGTTAACAGTCTGACCCCTCACTACACCACTAAAAAGTTTTATCAGAATTCAGACAAAAACAGGAAGCCCACAGGTCTTTGTCATGTCTGAATTATGTCTTCAACTCATTTGGAACTATAATTAAGTACTGATTTTATTTGTGCTGGTTTAGCTCAGCATGTTGAACGGGTGACCTCATGTCATATGGCTGAGAGTGGCAAGCCCAGGTTTGAGTCCAACCTGCGGCCCTTTGCAGAATGTCTTTCCTGTCGTGTCTTCACTGATCTATCTAATAGAGCTTATTGCATTCAGGGTAGAGCAACAGCAACCCATCTAGTAACGATCACGGAGTCATTCATTCTAAGGTCGTGGCAGGATTACAAGACAGTAATATTGTGGGTAGGTCATATGATGGACATAAAGATTAGTGTGATTATCTAAGCTTTAATAGCACTTGTAAATGCAATGGCAATAATGGCTATTCATTGCCATATGACTGAGTAACTACCCAACACCATAACTGACAACAGAAATTAGGGACAGGCAGTAGAAGGAAACTGTGTTAATCTGAAGGACGGAGGTCCAATAATGATTTGAAAACTAGGAAATGGTTGCATTGCAGTTTTCATATTAATCCCACTGTGGTTCATAAACATACAAGAGGTTCTTTTATTCTGATCTCACAGCCTTTTTTCTTACTGGGGACACATGAAGATTTGCCTTTTAGGCTCTTTTACAGTTTTGTGTTTCTATTGTTTTCAAATACATGAACACAACAAAAATACTAGAAAATAATGAAAAGGTTTCAATGTATTAAAAATGAAGCATTTAAAGTTCAACACAATTCTTACGTCTTATTATCATAAAACACCGCCTGAATGTCTTTACTGGGGAAAATGGTAAAGACTTTGGTGCTCCTGTGTTCGCCACTTAACAAGGTAACAACACAAAAACATTTTTCTTTCACATTTTTTGTTGCTCTGATCAAAAGGACAAAACAAAAGAATAAATTCAGAGGAGGCGAGGGAGAGGAAAAGCTTCACGATCGCTAGCGCGAGGAGTTGGAACTTGATCGCGACCGATGGCGGCGGCGGCCAGGCGATCGAGACCTGCGCCGCACTGGAGACCGTCGGCGTGGAGACCGAGATCTAGAAAAAGAGAAAAGAACATAAATAACAGAAGAGGTAAAGGTTTCCTCTCTCCTCCTCCCCCTTCTCCACTGTGGGTGCCCATCATTTGCTCATTACCTTCTCCTCATACGAGGTGGAGTCCGGCGCCACATCGGGGGCGGAGGAGGCATCCTCCGGGGAGGGGAAAGCCTGCGAGGAGGGGGGCGCACCGTGGGAGTCAGCACAGCTGTGACAGTGATTTCCTGACCATCGATCTGACCTGAAAGACATCAGCGTGAGAGTTGATCCACTTTAAGCACATGACTCAGAACGTGGCTCTGAAACAATCTCTTCAGTCCTTCCTACCTCCGTCCATGTGCTTCAGAGCCTTCTCTGCCTCTTCGGAGGTCTCGTACTCCACATAGGCGTACCCCTTGGACAGGTGAGGGTGCATGCGGTTCATGGGCATTTCAATCATCTTGATCTTGCCATATGTGGAGAAAATCTCCTGGATGTGCTCCTTTAAAAGACACAGAAAACCTTTGAGATACCTGCTGTTTTTATTGTGAGTAACTTTCAGCTTCTAAACCAAAAATAATTTGTTCTTCCTGGTAGAACTGATTCTTTTAGCCTGATCACGTGACCACTGCTTGCCCATCTCTGGATGAAGTCTTTGGTGAGCCCTCTTTTGATTTTTGATCCATTTGTGGTTTCCCGGTTGTCAGTTGCTGATTACAGACTTCATTCATCATTCTGCTTGAACTTGAAATCTTTGCTCATTTAAAGTCTCAGTAGCCCGACGACTGCACAGATGAGGCTTAGCGGGGAAAACGTCACACAGAAGCAGCATTCCTTGTGGTGGTGGAGTAGGTATCCACATCAACAACAGATGGTGCATGGACACAAACAGGGTCTATCACATTGTTCTCCACACACTGAGGACTTGGCCGTTAAATGCTGGCCGTTCAGCAAACTCAGTAATTTCCATCACTGTTCTTTACATCCACGGTTACACAGACGCAAAGCTGACAGTAACCTGATACAAAACAACCAACAAATGGTTATGAAAAAAGTTCTCCGCCACTTTTTCCAACGTGGATTTTGTAGCTAGAGGGTCCATCATACTTGACTACTTGTGTTTATTGAAACATAACAGCAGCATTCAAAGCATTCAGTCCTCTGCCCCGACCATCAACTCATCAGACCACGTCTCTGTCTTGTAAATTCCAGCATACAGACCTCTGGTCATCAGAACTACGGAGCAGCACTGCAGGATTTGCACAGACTGATCGGTGCTTCGAGGGGCTCAGGACACAGACACTGAGGAGCATGCTAAGGCTCTATGTGGCTAGATCTAAAATTTCAATTCAATTTTATTCATATGCCACAAAATCACAACAACCGTCACCTGGATGTAGTTTATACTGTAAGGTAAAGACCCTACAGTAATACAGAGAAAATCATCAACAATCAAACCCTATAAGCAAGCAGTTGGTGACAATAGGAAGAAAAAAAAACATTTAACAGGAGGAAACCTCAGAGCTCAGATCCAGGATCAAGGAGAGACAGCCACCTGTCATGACCAGTTGTGGCTGAGGTTGCATGAAGAAAAAAAAAAGTATCAATATCAGAGTGAGTGAGAACCTTATGACAGCCCTCAGAATTACAAGAGCCAACCTCTATAAGAAAATCAGTGGCAAAAAAGGCCCTTAGTCACAAAAACCCAAATTATAGAATCAATTTCAGGACCATAGAGATACAACTAGACTGGGACAGGGTATTACATGTATTACAGACTCCAGGATCACCTCACAGCCACAACACTGCATGATCTCAGAAAACTACTTTGTAAATTCAACATCTCATCAAAGTCTTAACAAGTAAAATAATAACAAGGACTACAAGGAGGTGAAACTTTTTGCAGCAATGACAATCTTATTCTGAAAGTGAACCCCCCTCCCCAAAGAGCTGTTATTTGACTATACGCATCCCGATCTATATCATCAACACTGGTGTGGAAACTGTGCTTCATATAATATTCATGGGGGTTCATGTGACTCCTGCACATCTCCTATGTTTTCAAAAAAAATCTCCTGCACTTCCTACCGAGGTTAAAAAAAGGCTCATCTTAACCCATCTGTCCTCACCACTTCCTACAGAGCCACCACACAGAGTGCACCAACACGCAGTACCAACACTCTGTGGCATGAGAGCAGCAGTGCCTCAAACAGAAAGCCACTGGGGAGCGTGGCGATGGCAGCTGAGATTAATGGGGTCTCACTGCCACCTGTTGGGAGCCTGGCCCAACAACGCCACCTGTCAAGGGCAAAAAGGATCACCAGGGACAGCAGGCACCCCTGCCACAGACTGGTCTCTCTTCTACCTTTAAGCAAAAGCTATCACAGACTGGCGTGCAGCACAGTACGGCTCTGTGACAGCTATGACCTGACCTCCGATTTTTGTTTGTTTTTCTGTGATCCTAATTTTGTTCAGCAGTGCATCTGTGATGTATTGACTGAATGACAGTAAAGAAATCTGAACCTGAATTTGGATGACGGCTGGGTTCATTCTGGGGGTCATTTCTGTGTAACTGGCCAGTCTAAGCATCACCAACAAAAAGTTATACATGTGGTTACACACAGACACACATTACATATGACATATTATAGAATGCCATTTAGGAAATTAGTATATATATTAGAAAGAAAGCCTGAATATATATTTTAATGATTATTATTTATCAAGCAGGAAACCAATGAATTAAATCATCAAGAACCCCCCACGCCACCCCTCCTCTCTTCTCCAGAGGTCCACAGATGCAGCTCCACTGTTCTGCAATTAACAGTGTAGCGGACAGCTACACACTCTGAATCATCTGCAGCATTAATCCTCTCTCAGTCTCCCAGAGTGTACTAAAAATTCTGGAACACACAGAATTATCCAGAAAAGACTGAACAAGTTTCTGTACTGAGACAGAAAACAAACAGGATTTGAGGGAATGAAAGGCTGCTAATACTTATTGGAGTAAGAAATACCTTCTTGCAGTTAACACCTTATCAGTTCTTTGTAGCCGCATTCAGTGTAATCAGTAACTCCATGCTTGTTTCGTGAGCGTACTGGTAAAAGTATTAAGGTAATAATAGAAATGCAAAGCATTTCATTACAGCCTACATTTGTTTTTTTTAAGCAACTACAAAGATTTGCTTTACAATCAACTACAAATGATCAAATATCTTAAGTTTTCACAAAAATGAAATGTGGCCACTGTGCTTGTAGCTAACAGTGTTTACCAGAGATTTTAATGCTGCTGACTCAAACTCCAAAACAAAGGCTTAATCAGTCCCCTGTGAGCACTCTCCACCATCCCTACGATCCTCTTCTTCATTTGAATCAACAAAAAGTTTCAATACAAACTGTAAACACAAAAACTTTTTAAGAACTGTGAAAATAAACTCTGCTCACAGTTTAAAGCTGTGTCTAAGCAGTATGTTTATTACTTGTTATTCTGTTGGCTGCAGTGTCCTAAAGTCCCTCAGGATCTATCGTAACGCACGTATCAACAGAAATCGGGTGTGAAAGAAAATCTGGCTTCATGGTTATCCATTTGCACACTGCTTGTATACATCACACAAAGATTCCCTGCTTTTATGACTTAAATACAAAAGTATGGAAGATAGTTTCCACCACTGGGGGGGATAAAAGAAAAAAAAATACATCCATAACTACATTTTTAGTTTATTTGAAATTTCAAGTTAGCTCTGCCAATCAGAAAGCTCCGTGAATGACGTCATTCCCTAGTTACCCACAAATGGTGCAGTCACAGGTGCACTCAAAATCAGGAATATGTATAGTAAACATGGAAAAATTCCTGTTAATGCTAATAATAACAGCATGTTTCCACTAGTAACACAAGGATGTCATCATTTTAAAACCATTTTGAAAGCAGTTTGCTCATTCGTGACCTCCATCTGTAGCATTGGTAGCTGATGCCTCCACCTTCTGTTTCCGGGTAACAGTGAAATATATTCAGAGAGGTCCTGATTGGTGGAGCTAACGGCTTATCAACTTGAAATTTTATGTTATGGATGACAAAAAAAAAAGCAAAACAAAAAACATTCTGTGACATAGCAAAAGAGCCAGTGTGATAACGATAAAAACAAACAAACAAAAAAACCCATCTTTTTAAGCACTTCTAGTTAAGAATGTACCTTGATGACGTTTCTGGTCAGCCGACCCAGGAAGACCTTGGTCGGTTTGGGTGTGGGACTCCTGCGTCGTCGATCCCTGCCTTCCTTCTTTGGCGATTTAGACCTACAATCACATCTGACTTTAATTTAACATGTGAGCTGTTAATGACAGCGTCTAATATGAAAACTCTTCAAGTACATTTAAGTTCTTTTTATGAAAACATCACTAGAACCAAGACTCACTGAGGATTACTCACTGAACAGGCAATGTACAACCTCTTGCTAATCTCTTACTACATTTAGTTTTTTGGGTGCTTCCTAGTAAACGCTTCCATACTTTGAGCGCGAGCGTCGTCTGTTGTTGTGGCGTTGGCGGCTGGGGCTGGGTGAGGATGATGAAGATGAGGAGGAAGAAGAGCGGGAGCTGGAGGAGCCAGAGTGACTGGAGGCAGAGGAGCTTGAGCCGCTGGAGGAGCCAGAGCTGGAACCTGAGCTGCTGCTGCTGGAGCTGGAGCTCGACCTAAAGAGAACATTATGATAATTTTTTATTTATTTATTTATTTTTAAATGGATGATCTGCTGAGGGGAGCAATAGAAGGGTTTGGTCCCAAAGCTTTAATTCAAATGAGCTAACTCTCATTCAAACCAGAGGGGAACAGGTGGTTAGTGATCTGACCTGCTGCTCCTGCTAGAAGCGCTGCGTCGGGTGCGGTTCTTGTCTCGGCCCCGGCCTTTGTCAGCTCCCTCTTTAGTGGCTCCTGACTTGTCCTTGCTGCGCTGTTTGCTCTTGTCATCGTCCTTCCTTTTTGTTGGAGAAGGCGCCCTGTTAAAGGAGAAAACAACCAAAAAGATCTAAGATTTAGGGTGCCAGACATCCCCAACACCTTTGCACTGTGGCAAAATAGATTATCATTTGCATAAAGTAACATCAAACCATGCAAACTGACAGGCAGGAATGATTTCCTGTGTTATTAAGCGGTGCATTTGGGTAACTCAGTCTCTAAGTGAATGTGCTCCTGTCATAGAGTGGATGGGCTGTATTGTCCAGCATTGTCCTCATCTTGGACAACATCCGCCTCTCTGACACCACCTTAAGGGAGTCCGGCTCCATCCCCACTACATTACAGGCCTTTATGGACTAGATTTTGAAGGAACATTTCTATTTTAGCCTGCACAACTTTTTTTTATAATTTTGGTAAGGTTATTTAAAATCTCAAGGATTCAAGGAGCTTTATTGTCCTTCACGTCGTATGATAACATGAGGTTAACATCTGCACTACCTTTCCAAAAATTTACATCAGCGGGACCCAAGCAGACTTGGAAAGTATAAAAGTAAGGAAAAACAAAAATGGAGTAAAAGAGGCTTGAAGCTGAGCTGGTCTATATGTGAGATGTAACTCAAGAAAAGAAGAGAAGGGAAACTCAAACTACAGCTTTTTAATATTTTTTGAAGGCAAACCTCATTTTACTTGAAATGATAAGATTTTGTCATAGTGAAAATTAATAATAAACTTTTTCCAACAAATACTGTTTGACTATACTTTTTTCTTTGTTTTATTGGACAGGCAGTTTTTAACTTTAAACAAACACTGGTAAAACTGTTAGGTGGCTTCAAAATATGCTGCACTGAAATATATTAAATTATATTTTGGACCTGCAAATTTTCTTCATCTTTCTATGTTTTTACAGACATACATTATCTTCATAGCCAGCGTTGAAATTTACAGTATTTTGGCAGTACGGTTACAAGTGGCTGTAAATAATCTTACATTTTTACTGAATTATATTGTCCCTTTCTAGCTTTTTGAACCTAAATGTTGATTACCTATATTACTGATACTTTTTTGGATTTTCCCCTTTATCATAGTTTTAATTATTAAATCAAAATTCCAAAACTTTTGGCTTAGTCAGACTATGTTGAACACGTTCGTCATTTCTCCATTTTTAACTCCTTGCCTGCTATTGATCACATCCCAGTTGTTAAAGGTAACTAACACTCTGAGGTATATGAGGGAAAAGGATCTTTATTCTCAGTTAAATAATATTCCACTAATGTAACTACAGGGATGCTAAAGTAACGTCTTTCCGTCTCTGTGCAAAAGCATCTGCATCGTCACTTTTTCCAACACTGAGGTAAGAATGACCGCTTGTTTATGGAAGCATAATTCTTTCGCTTTTGACATGAGCTACAAATTAATTTAGTCGATTTGTCAAATAGATGCTACCAATAGTTCTGTGTTAGGGGGAGAAAACGAACTTCCTTTTGTTGTTATTATTCTGTAGGAGACTCGCGAACCCTCGTTCATTTGCTCTTTGAGCAGTTCTGCAACACATTTCTGTAATCGCCACATATGCATTTTTAAGAATGAGGACAAATGCTGAGTGGCCACAGTATATCTACTCATAGAAAATGCAAAACAAAATCAAGCTAGCTCAAAAGTTAGCTAGCTTACCGTTGGTTAAATATATAAATAATAATAATATGACTGTATATTGTGTTTGCTTATTAACAATTTCGTGTAAAGCTAAAAGCAGTACCTTTCGCGTTAACACTTTCGTGTAGTGATTTGCAATTTATAAGCCAAATACAAAAGAGAAACAAATTAAAACGACTGCGTTCACTTACATTTTTTCCTCGCGACAGTAGTAATCGCACAAAAATGACGTAAGCAGTTTGAACCAATCAGCACTCTGTACGCGCCTCACACATGCAAAAACATCCGTTAAGGTGATGAAAATAATTCTCTAAATTTAGACTAGCAGGATTTATTTTTCTGAATAATACTTGTTTCCCATAGCTGGTTTCACTTCTTTTTATTACTCTTTTAATTAATTTCTGTAATTTGAGTTAATGTTTAAACTTTAACTCTAAATTTGACTGGGGAAGGATCACTGCACCAGAACTCTTGCGGGTAGGACGTAGCCTGAAAGGTTAGACTCAGGGAAAAGGCACAGATTTTTATAACCCCGGCTCTAACTGAAGAATCACGCTGCCTTTCATTTGAACCGCATTAGAGATCAGCCGTAGTCTCATATGAGTGAAAAACGCCTCTCTAAGCTACATAAAAGGTTTGGGCTGATTGAACAACTAACGGAAGGGGACAAGTTTGCTCTTCCACTTAAAGAGCCTGCTTTGAGATGAAGTCTGCAGATAATGTACCAGAAAAAACCAGGAAACCTTCAGGCAATGGATTGACTCTTGGACTGACTGTGCTCTGTGCTGCCATTGGAGGAACCTTTCAGTACGGCTACAACATCTCCATCATCAACGCTCCGACCAGCTACATCCAAAAGTTTATTAATGACACCTACATAGAGCGCTGGGGTACAGGCTTGGATATCCCTGAGGTGACCCTGGTGTGGACCCTGATAGTATCAGCCTTTTCTCTTGGTGGCCTCCTTGGGGCCCTGCTGGCAGGCCCCATGTCAGTTCGCTTTGGGAGGAAAAAGTCGCTGCTTTTGAACAATTCCTTCATGTTTGCTGCTGCTGTGCTGGTGCTAACATGCCGGGTGGCAAAATCATTTGAGATGATCATCATTGCTCGCTTTCTGGTGGGGATGAACTCAGGTGTCAGCATGAATGTCCAGCCTATGTATTTTGGAGAGAGTGCCCCCAAACACCTCAGAGGTGCTGTGGCGTTTTCTTCTGCCGTCTTTACTGCATTTGGGATCTTTTTGGGTCAGGTTGTGGGACTTACTGAGCTTTTGGGTAGTGAGCCTCTTTGGCCCTACTTACTGGCTAGTAATGCTTTGCCAGCACTGGTCCAGCTCCTTACCCTTCCCTGGTTCCCCGAAAGCCCCAGGTACCTACTCATCGACAGGGGAGACAGGGAAGCATGTCTCCAGGCTCTTGGAAGACTCCGCGGCGGGGAGGCTCCCGTTTTGGAGATGGAGGAGTTGCTTCAGGAGCAGCAAATGTCCGCAGCCATAAATTCTGGAGCTACATCTTCTGCTAAGACGCCCTGGGCCCTGTTTAAGGATCGTAATTTACGATCACAACTCAAAACAGTCATGGCCGCCAGCAGCGCCATGATGCTCTGTGGAAACGACTCCATCTACTTCTATGCTTCCTACATCTTTCAGGAAGCAGGGATCCCACCAGAGAAAATTCAGTACGTCACCATTGGGACGGGGGCATCTGAGCTAACAGCTTCCATTCTGAGTAACCTCCTGATTGAACGCGTGGGTCGCCGGTACCTTCTCATCGGGGGTTACAGTCTCATGTCTTGTTGGTCTATAGTTTTTACTGTAGCTCTTTCACTCCAGAGCCGCAAAGTGACAGGGATGGCATACCTCAGCATGGTGTGCGTTTTCGCTTACATCCTCAGCTTTGGCCTGGGCCCAGCCGGAGTGACAGGGATCTTACCAGCTGAGATCTTTGATCAGAAGGCTCGTCCAGCGGCCTACATGATCGCCGGCTCTCTAATGTGGATTAGCCTGCTCCTAATGGGAATGCTGTTACCTTTCATCGTCAATGGCCTGGGAAACCTCTGCTTTCTGCCTTTCCTCTGTGTTTGTTTGGTATCTGCTGTGTTTCTGGGGCTCACCTTGCCAGAGACAAAGGGCAAGACGCTGGCTCAGATTACAGCAGTGTTTGATAAGAAGAACCAAGGGAAAATGAATGAAGTTCCAGACCTAATGACAGAGCACGATCCCCTGAATGATCTCTACCAGTTGGGTAAAATCTGCTCATTTACCTCCTCAACGCATGATCCTGACCTTGACCATAAAGTTGCTGAATGAAATTTGACCTGTGGGATTATAAAAAGCAGTGCCTTTTGAACTTATCTTCAGGTTTTAATTGACTTCTGTGGAGATTAAATCCTGTGTGTTATTTATGAGATGTGATCCCGTTAATATTGACTGTTCAAATCTGTTCTTAATTTACAATTTGGTCTAGGCCTTTAATCCTACCCAACACACATTTTGTGTTTATTTACTACAAACCTATATAAAGCTTCTAAAATGTATTTTAGATCGCCATTGAGAGTGATGGTGCTGAACCCTTTTGTAGGGTCCCTATGCCAAAGAAATTGTCCTCACTCATATTTATGCAGAAATCTCTCAAGCTCCTGCCAAAAACTGGCATGTGTTTGCAGTAGTTTGGGCAATCATTTGAACAGCATGTGCTGTAGGGATTACCTTCTCTAGTTCAACACTTGTGAGCTGCTAGATAACAGTTCATGTTTATTGTGCAATCTGATGCTGTTTTGTTTTTTATCTATCCAGCTCAGTGAACCATGCATGTGTGTTTTCCTATTTGATGACCTTTCTGGGAACGCAGACTGTGTGTAATTCTTTTTTTTTTCTCTCTTTCTCTCATTTATGTTTATATTTATGCAGCAACTGGACTGCATCTAGAATTTAACTATATTAGTTAGTCCCCTCCAGACTTCTGTGTGCACCAGGGCTTCAACTACATGAGTGTAGCTCTGCAGAATGGCCAGTAGATGTAGCCATTGTGTCTGCCACAGTTTGTGCGGTGATAAACAAAGCAGCGCGTCATGAAAATGAATCACACAGTCAAGGTTAACACTTTTAAATTCACCAGCTTTTAAACTCAATGCAGCCCTTCCGAGCCTTCTGCGAGCCATCTGTTGCAGCGTCTGTATGTTCTGTAATCACCCTGCGTTGCTTGATCGTGTGCTGGAATGAATCCTAAATGCAGACGTCAGGTCTGTTCTTGCACTGTTGTAACGCGTAGCATGTGCTGCGCACTTACTGAATGACACTGTCGCACTTTTCTCTGCCTAAAAATAGTATTACTATTTATTTAAATCAAAATACAACTGTGTGTACAACAAAATAAAGGAAAAAAAGTGGTGACCCGCATTCTCGTCATGTTTGTGATTTGGTTAGTGAGTTTTATTCTGCTTGCTTTTTAAATTATGTTTAATCACCCAACTTTGGCTCCCTTCACTCCTGCGCACTTTAATTCAAGTACTTCTGCCCACTCTTATTAAAGTGGATGGCATAACACTGTTTATTTATGGAAACAAGAGCTGGGTGAGAACATCTCACTCTCCAGTGGGGTAAGGTGTGCATTTTCATTTGTCTTTATTACACCATCCAGCTGACAGAAAAGTCAATTTCTATTTAAGTGCATCCAGTGTCAAGTAGGATTTGTGAGTGCAAGGAAGAATGTTTTTATAACCTCGACAGCTAATGGGTATTTCTTCTCTCCGTGGCGCTCAGTTCAGCCTACAGAATCAGTTTGCCTTTTCCAGTGAAGCAAACTACACAGCTAAAAGTGACTTTGTGTCAAAGAGGTAGAGAGTTCAGATATAAAAGCAAAACATAAGAGTTTTTCTGCCAGCAAACCCAGCCAGCACTGAGAGATTAGTCCTTAAAGAAGGACTGGACAAATACAGAAGCGCTCTCCACCGCACTCATCAGAAGCAGTTCATCTGTGAACACACTGCTGTGCTTTGGGAGATGGCTAATGATTTCAGGCCTCAGGATAGAAGAACCTCAGCGGCTTCACATACTATAGAGTAAATTGCTAAGGCACTCATAATACTTACCAGGAGACAGAATGACTGACATTTACTGCATCTGCCATTTTTCCAGTTATGATTTCGCTGAGTTTCTGGTGAAGGGTCGATCCAAAAGATGTTACATTTTGTTGCAGTTAGGTGCAAAAATGAGTAGCATTATGTTGAAGATAAATCAGGAAATGGTTTGCTTACATTTACATGCTGGAAATGAGTTTTTGTTTTTAAAATAATAGATTTAAACAGATTGGCTGGATCGGTTTGAGCTGATAAGAAGGCAACAGTAACTCAAACCACTTATTTCAAATAAGATATGTATACGAGAATCTCACACAGCATGTCAAGCTTTTAAGCAGATGGGCTACAGCAGCAGAAGACCACATCGGGTGCTGTAGCCCATCTGTGAGCTAACAGAATAAAAGGTGAGGCTACATTCACACTGACTCACCAAGACAGACCCTGTGTGAGGTCCTGGCCAGGTTTCTCTTGGAAATGAGAGTTAAATCACAATGAAATAAATAAAGGTTAATAAATAAATAAATAAATAAATAAATAAATAAAAACTTGACAAAAGAGGATTGGAAATGTGTCTGTTGGAAGTGTGCACTGATGAGTCCTGATTTGTGCTCTAACATAGGTACAGGTAGGGTCAGAATTTGGCATAAACAACATGAAAGCATAGACCCATCCTGTCTTGCATCAGCAGTTCAGGCTGGCTGTGTTGGTGTAATGAAGAATTTAGTCAGTCCTGAAAGTAAAAGTTGCCAACCCCGTACTACAGTGGCAGCTGACTGTATAAAATAAGACGTTGTTATTGTCACTACATACAGTGATAGATTGAAATTTCAGTACATACACCAGTCCTAAACAACACAACATAAAGAAAACAGACCAAGGCAGGGTGAGATAAGATGCTGTGAGTGCAAGTCCAAAGACAAGTGCTGCACTGACTGGCACAATATTGCACACATAATGGTGTTAAGCTGTAAAGAACACTGAGTGTTTATCAAGGGTCTGGATCTGTTTCTGTACGTTTTAATTGACCTATACCGCTTCCTTGAGGGCAAAAGGTCGAAAAGATGATGACTGGGGTAAGAAATGGACATTATGATGTTCTCTGGAGAGGAAGCAGATGTCAGCAATGTCCTCGAGTGAAGGAAGAGGGCAGCCGATGATCCTTTGCGCTGACTTTATGACCCTCT